TTTTTTTCTGAAGTGTGGTTATTTTATAATTTCAATAATATTTTATTATTATTTTTTATATAACACTGCCAGACATTGTTTGATTTTCTTGATACAACTTTTATTACTTTTCTAATACAATTCAAACGGATTTTAGAGTACAATAGAATACCGTTGAAAAGATTTATTGTCTTTTAAAAGTTTATTGCCTTTTTTAATATCTATGAGAGATTGTTTCTTTGTATTATAAACATTTCTGCCCATAGAAAACTATAAATCACTTATATAACTGGGCACAGGTACGTGGGTGATCCTAAGAAGATTTAAATTCAAATTTACAATAGATAAGAGTGGTATACGCATGATGCATGATATTATATCGTGTAAAACTTATGCATGATTGTTTCTCTGTCGAACCATTCTAATATTCTTTTCTTGTGTAATAAAATTCCGAACAATTTATTTGCTGTAATTTTATATTAAAAAACTTCTTAGTGCATCTTGGATACTGATTATATATTATTTCTTTGTAGTTGTAAAAAAGTCTAACTCGTTCTACGAAGCTATTATTTTTGCTACGCTATTTTTTTGGTACTATATTGTTGAAGTATTGCGGCATTTTCAAGTATTGGGCGAAAGAAGATAGAGAAAGAAAGAAATAAGTGAAATAAGCATCTCACTGTAATGACGTTATCACCAAAGGATAAAAGAAAACATTAAAAATAATTAAAAACGCTTCGTGAAGTATTTCTGCTCTTCTACAGTTCTATATATTATACACATCTTAATCATGGTCCTCATTCTCCTAAATGGCCCTGAACTAGGTAGCTTTCGGGATCAAGCCAGGAGGGCAGAGGATACTAAGAATCTGCGAAGTCTAAACAGCTACCCAAATAAAATAACAAAGTTTTATATAGCGATATATAACTGCCGCTCGCTATCAAATCAGTTCATATTTGTAGAACTCAGAAAAGGAAATTGAGAATTTAAAATGACACGTCATAGTCATTTTAAATTCTCAATCAACGAAGTAAGACGGGAAGATGAAACAGAGGAATTCTACAGTAATTGAAGCATTAAATAACAATAAAAATCACTTTAAGTATTTAATTGTTGACTATAATGATAAAGTAAGAAAGAGAAACGGCAAACAAGTCATGGGAAAGTATGAGGTTGGTGGGAGAAATGAAAGGGAAAAAAGACTGGTTTAATTTGCACACTACCAAAATATGCCTATTACAAATACATTCTGCAAAAAAAATCAAACAGAAAATGGATTCAGTAAGCAACAATATTGCTACAATAAAATATGTCAATGTAATAAATAAATTTCAAACAGGCAGAGACCATAGACTATTAAGAGCAAAAATTGTTCTAGATTTGAATCAAGAAAAAATAAAATTAATCACAAAACTAAGAGTAACCGGTATAAATATTAACAATATAAGAGAAAACTCAGATTACTACCAAAGGACAATTATTGATAAATGATTACATGACCAAATCTACAGTTCTTCTTCTTCTTCTTAAGGTGCCGTGCATTTCTGCGTAGGCGTCCACCGTAAATCGACTTGTCAGGTGAGATGTTAAATATTCAGATTCAATAATTCTGTTTTTTAGCGGCATTGCGAAGCATTTCATAGCTGTGGATTCCTGTCCATTGTCGAATATTGCGCAGCCATGACATTTTTTACGTCCCAGACCTCTCCTACCCTCTATCTTCCCTCGAGTATCAGTTGCTGAACAGTGTATCTTTTCTCCTTGTCATATGTGCCCTAAGTATGTAGTCTTCTACCTTTCACTTTTACTTTTTACAGGATAGGAACTAAAAAGTTTCCTATCCTGTAAATCCGCTCTTCTGAGTACTTCCTCATTTCTGACCTTGTCCGTCCATGATATTCTAAGCATCCGACGCAGCCACCACATTTAAAACACTTTAAGTTTGTTAATGGAACTGGCCTTTAACGTCCATGCTTCCATTCCGTACAGGAGAACATGCCACACGTAACACTTAAGCATCTTGTATCGGAGGTTGAAGTCCAATTTGCTGTAAGTCAGAAACTTACGAAGCCTCAAAAAAGCATTTCTGGCTTGTTCAAGACTGGCTTGTTGTTGTACTTGAGTACTCTGGGACTGTTGATGAGAGGGCAAAAATACGCATTAGTTACAACTTATTATGCAGGGCAAAATCCGAGAAAGCGAAATGTGGGAAGACGAAGAATATCCTGGCTTAAGAACTTGAGGGATGGTTTGAATGCAGTAGTGCAGAACTTTTTAGAGCGGCAGTCAACAGAGTCCGCAATAGCCATGATGATTTCCAACCTTCGATAGAAGATGGAAACTTAAAGAAGAAGAAGGCTTGTTCAACTCTGCTCTTTATTTCATTTTCGGGGTCCCAACCCTGGTTCAAGCAAACAACTTAAGTATTTAAATTGCCTGACCTGTTCGATTTCTTCTCCAGAGACATTTCTTCTCTTTGCGTTGGGGTAATCATTTCTACTTATAATCATTGTTTTTGTCTTCTTGATATTTATTTTCAAATTTTATTTTTTACAGTTCTTAATTAGTGAAAATTATCCTTGATAGTGAAAAAGAAATCGTAGACCCGCAACAACAAAATGAGCATAGTAAACGATCGGAAGAAACTTAAAGAAAGCTAAAACAAAGAAGAGAAATTAAAGTAAGCAGCAACATACAAAGAATACAATAGACAGAACTTTGTAAGGAAAAGTATTAAGGAAGACATAAGAAAAGACAATGAAAGACTGGTAGAAAATACAATCAAAAACAGAAAAAAGCTAATCATTGGGAAGAAGCAAATTGTTGCTCTAACAAACAAAACCAGTAGAATTACATACAGAAATAAAATACTACAACTCGTGACTAAATTCTACAGCAATTAATACAAAGCCTCTAAAATACTTCTATTCCAGCTCCTAAAAATCACCAATCAACCAATCACCAAGATATTTACAAAGATCATCCTCAACAGATTAACAAATCCATTAGATGCTGCACGGCCAAGAGAGCAAGCTGGCTTCAGACTTAGATTCAGTACCCTGGATCATTACCTATACGCTTCGAAAACTAATGAGTAGAGCTAAAGAATATAAAATACCGCTAGAATTAACCTTAATAAAATTTCGAGGGGGCTTTCGATTCTATATATCCCTATATCCCTATATCCCTATATCCCTATATAAGTAGTAATAGAAGCTTTTACCAACCAAGGCATTAGCAAACCGTAAATAGAGACTTTACAAATATACATACAAGCAAAAGCTAAGGTTAAAATTTATAAAAACACTCCATAACTTCTCACTACCAGAGGCGTCCGACAAGGAGATGCAGTATGACCAAAGTTCTTCATTGCAACTCTAGAAAATATATTAAGAAAAATGAACTGGCAGAACAAAGGCCTATCTATTAATAGAGAATACCTCAACCATCTAAGATTTACAAACGACATCGTTCTGATTGCTAATAATATCTGTAAATCATACATGACTAGTAGATGTCCAACATGTAATAAACAACACTGCATTTAGACAGTAGACGACCATGAATACTTGGGACAATTAACACATAAGTTCAAAAACTTTTATCTTAATTTCCCTTGTATAATGAACGATTGCATAAACCTCTGGCTGAAATACCGAGGTATATCCATTCTCACCCCTACTGTAACTATTTACAGCCGATCCTTCTGCCCTTTAGGCCTGTATCTATATTATCACATGGTGAGCAGTTATCATTTAAAGTCCCCATTTCCTTTTTATATTATTATGTACTAATATGTATATTATGTACTAATATTATATTATTATGTATTATTATGTACTAATCAAAATATTATTATATACCAGGCAGGGAAGACTAGAAAAAGGGTGTAAACGTACAAGCAGAAGCTACCTGTTACACTGATGGCTGAAAAACATAAGATAAATTTCCAGGTAAGTCTATCTAAGGATATCACAATTTTTCACCATTCACTTGTCATCTTCAAAGATAGACAGGTAACGTTTAAGGCACTTAATTCTGTAGAGGTCAATTCTAAGCTAGTATTGGATTGTGTGGGTGTCCTAAATAAACTAGAAGACAAGAGGGCATGAACGTTATAAGGACAATAAAAAAGCAGATGAAATGACCAAACAAGGCTCATTATTGCTATTCATTGGACCGGAACCCTTCTTCGGCTTTAAAAGACAGTAACCAGAACAGCTACAAGAAAGTGGGTACCACACAGATTTCTGGAATGGTGGAGGAATTCACTAGAACAAAGACAGCCAAAACAGTTCATTATAAAATATTCGCCAAAATTTACAGCAGACATAAGCAAATACAGGAAAATAGTTAAAGCCATAGTAAGTCTATTAACAGGACACTGTAAGCTGATAGGCAGTTGCAGCTGATGGGATTTACAGATAATGATCTACGCAAATTCTGTCATCTAGAGGAACAAACAGCAGAGCACAATTTGTGTCAGTGCGATAGATTGGCAAATGTGCGGTTAGGCGAAGAAAAGCCACCGGCAAAGATGTACATGGAAGGTTCAGGCTCGAAGCTATTAGATCTTTTATTAAGGGTCAGGCTAGAGAATATATTCTACGATTAGAGGACCACAATAGATCTGAAAAGGTCGCAGTAAAATAGGCCAAATTCCACCTCATTAAATCTATCTATGTTAGATAATCTAACTATTATGGTATTTTCCGCAGTCTATAGTATACCCTTGTCTAAACATAAAGTATTTTTGAAGATTTTTTTTTTAGTTTATGCTTCTTATAGTATACATATTATTTATTTTGGTAAATTATTATTCTATGATTAATAATTGTTTTCTTACAAATCATTAAGATATCACCCATCGATAATCCGAAAATGTCCACGGGAGTAACTCTGCTATGGAAAAATCCAGATAGGTCACAATAGTGAGAACCAAGTCTACGGCTACGTCCAGGATTTAAAAATAAGTATAATTTAGGTGTATTATTAATATAATATGCAACCAGAAAACTTACCAGTATGTGGCATTTTTAGAATTCAAATCCTGTCAAGACCTGAAAGACAAAATTAGGTTAGAAAAAATTGTACCAATTTGTTAAAATTGTTGGACATTAATAAAAGTAATTTACAATTTTTGTTGGGAATAGTCACAATTTTACTTTAAAATAAGTTTCTTTGATGTTTCAAGTTCCACTTACGAAATAGTGAAAATAGTGAAGTGTAGATTCGAGGTTTGGATTTGGAAGAGATAGCTTTCGGTGTGGTAGTCTTCAAAGCTGGCAAATTTTTTAATTTGAGAGGTGAATTTGTGCTCAAAATGGGATCTGGCAGTTTTGGTTGAGTTAATCACCGAATGGTTATGTTGTGCCTTATCTATGCCATTTGTAAGACGGCGTTTCCAACCATTTGAGAGGTCAACATGGTTTTAAGAAGAAATTGAGTGACCGAGTTTTAAAGATTGCAGTTTGTTGTCATCCAAGATAGTCCGAAGCCCGAATCAGTGTCACAACTTCCCAAGAATTGTCCATTTCGACGGTCCAATTGTCCATTTTTGTGTTCCATGATTTGTGTGAGACACAGTTGTGTGTTGTTTGCAGTATTTTGGTTCAATTCCGATCCCATTAAACTTTCTCAAAGGGAATACATCAACCAAAATTTTTCTAATTAAAAATACATTTTTCAATAATAAAATTTTTATGGATTAGCTAATTGTTATATTGCTCTTCTTTTAAATGCAATTAATTGTGAAATTTAGTTAATATTTCAGAAGGTTTGATATTTCGTTTCGACATATGATAGTCAGTATTATCCTTTTTTTTTGACAATTGGTACATAACCATAAATTTGAATTGTTTTGTTTACAGGTTAACCTTAATGTAAGCTCCGTTGAAAAATCTAAATATATTAATAATTTAAATTCCTATAAGTATCCCAAACGTCTGGAGCTTGTTGGAAATTCGTTACAAATAGTGAAATTGTTAGGTATTGTTGATAAATTTTGTTAATATTATTTATAACTGTTTATGTGAAGTAATAATAAATATGTAATGTTTCTCTCTAAACCAGGGGTTGTAGAATTATTTCCTTTAAAAAGATTTTCACCCTTTAATATTTTTTAGGAAAGAAAAGCCTTCCTTCCGTCCAGCAAGAAGATTTTTTTAAACGACACCAATTTCAAATAGTTTAGGAACCTTCTTGTGTTGTGTCGCCCACGAAATCTATGTAAGTATTTCTTGATATATTTCTCTGTAGTTTCCCCTCTTAGTCCCTCCTTTATTCACCCACTTACGATCCAGTTCTCAACCAAACCATATGTGGCCGTTCGCAAACGTTTCAGTTTGTTTGCTTATCCTATCTTCAGCCCAGTAATTGCTCAGTCCCTACTTTTAACTCCCTATAAGTGATACTCAATGTGGTAGGCAAATTATTTTGTTTCAAGACTGTAAAGTGTAAATATATACTAAAAATACATCACTTGAAACAGATGTAGTAATAAGATATTATAATAAATATTGTGGAAGTTTTAAAAACAAAGTTGTTGTTTATATTAATGATTATCCTTATATACTCGGTTCGCTAATCCCAGTCCGAGATTGTCTAGTGATTTAAGTAATTATATTTTTACCAAGCTACTTACTTTTTGACAGACTAGAAGTGACTGGAAATTACTATACATACAACCAAGCACACGTGCTCATAGCGCAATTCATTAAAGTATTTCGTCGAACCTCTTTTGCAAACTTATACTATGACTTAGAAAATTTATAGCATGTTTTGTATCTAATATATATATATATATTATATATCTATAATATATATATATATATATATTATAATATATAATACGTTTCATATTTTCCAGTTAATTTATTATTTTTTTAAAAGTAATAATAATGCTGAATAAGCATTATTTCAAATGATTATATAATTAGAACACGTACTTAATATTGTGTTATATAATCTTCATAATAAAGTACGTTAAATAAAAAAATCATAATATTCATATTATTATTCAAAAATATCGTTCATCAAAAATATAATTCCAAAATCATCAAAAATATAATTCAAAATATCATAATATTCTATTATTCCTATCAAAGCTAGTTTGGAATGACCCGGGACTTTACCTTTTTATCTAACGTACGTTATTATGAGGATTATATAATACAATATTAAGTACGTTTTGTGATTAAATATCATTTGAAATATCACTTTTAAAAAATAATAAATTAACTGGAAAACATTAAACCTTTATTAAAAATATTCTCAAGAAAATAGAAATGTTAAATTGTAACAATTCAAATATTATATTTTAAATATACAGGGACAATTCGGATGGGTTTAGTATATACTTACACTATTTAGAATAATTCTTCTTTTTCCAAAGAAAGAAGTCTGCCATAGTAGTATACTTGAGCTATTAATACTAAGAAGTAGGAATTGTTGTGTTGTAGGTTTCCGACAATGAATCTGTCAAAATATGCCCGAGTAAGCGAATAGAGATTAATATAACTACTTTTTTTTTTAATTATATTGTTTGCTTTTTGATTAATTTTTTTTTGTGTTTTTTTTTTGTTTATAATTTTGTTAGTTATCACAAAGGAGATTAAATATACAATAGAAAAAGGTTATGTAAAGTTTATTTTAAGTTCTTGTGTAACAGTAGCTAACCTGCTACTTTTTTTTTCGATGGCTTGATATGTTTTCCACGCATTTGTAAGTTTGATGCTAAAACATTTTTTATAAATTTTTTTTTGGTTGAATAATTGACCAACGAAAGTTCGCAACAAAATATTTATTTCTCCGAAAGAGGGAAAATTAGTCAATTGCGTCATAACAAATTTTGGCGATACATATTTCATAAGAAATAAAAGTATCAAAAAACAATGTAAGCTCTCACGAACCTACATCAGGCGAACACACACGGAAAAATTAGTAGTCATAAAAAGCGTGACCGTAATTATACAGGTTGTTACGGTACGAGAGTTATAGCCTGTGTAAATTTAAATATTGATTACCCTTTATACTGAAAAATATGAAATTAATGTAAATCAAAATCATAAGCGCAACGTGTTCTACTAAAATTATTCAGGTAGTTAGCTCACATTTGCATCCCCTATCACGCATTTTTCCACCCTCAGCCATTTCATAGGCCGGGAAATATAAACAAATAGAATTGCAGATCTAATCCTAGAGATATAGAAGTGGAAATTGAAAACAACATGAATCCGAAAAAGGATATGGTTTCAATCTCACTCCTGGTGATATTTTAGAGCCGTTGCCGAAGAAAACTATTATAAAATTTATCTTCTTTTTTAGCGGCTCTTTCTGGTCTTCTATATTTTCTTCTTCGTAAGTATGTAGTGGTTTCATGTAACTCGTTTGACTCTTTCTGTCCAATTATTTTTTTAAGGTGCGTGTTGTTTGGCGTCGGAGAATAAGTAACCACTCATATCATTTTTTTGGTCAGGACTATCGTGCTGGAGATTTTCCTCTGGATCTTTTGCTCGTTACATTGCCTTTAACTATCAATTGTTCATGCTTTCTCTTCTTATAGTTATATTTTCAAAATATCCTACTATATTTTGGTTGATAGTTGTGGTGATTATAATTTTTCTGCTAAGTTCTTCTAGTAATGAATTATTTGTGCGATCTGCGATACATGGTATGCGCAACATTCTACGGTAGACCCATAGTTAGTATGAATTAATACAGGACTACTATTATCTTTCTGAATAGTGCTCCCTATTCGTACTTCTAAGATCATATATATGAGGTAGAATATTGTGATTTGAGACAGATTAGAGTTGGCATCTCACAAGGAAGTTCGCTTGGAGCAGTTCTATACATTTAGTACAGCGGAGATACTCCCGAACTAAATGAAGATACTATTGCCATATTCGCTAATGACATACAACAATTATCTCACATGTAAATATTCATCAGAAGCAGCGCATAACTTACAGAACTTCTTAGATCAGATCAAAGCATGGAGAAGCAATTTGAATAAAGCCAAATCGATTTGTATGGATTTCACTAATCATCATTCAGTCTCAAAAGTTAAACTGCTGAACATAGGCTTTTTTCTCGTATTTCCAACTCCGTCTATGTTGCGCCACTCTCATTCAGTTTTTATTTTGTCTGCATAAATCGTCAGCCCATCGTGTAGGTAGTCGACTGACGAATATTTTTTAACGAAGAAACCTGTTTTATTCCTGCATCTCTAACACCTTCTCTTTTGCCTTTAAGGATCAGTTGTAGTGTTCTATATTAAGCTTAACTCACTATGAGCCCCTAGATAAGACTTCTTCTTCTTATGAGTGCCGTCTCCCTAAGGAGGTTGGCAATCATAATGGCTATTTTTATTTTAGAACTTGCTGCTCTAAACAATCAATCGATCTGCATTGGTACCAATCACGTAGATTCTTTAACCATGAGTTCTGCCTTCGGCCAACAGATCTTCTTCCTTGAATCTTTCCCTGTATTATCAGTCTCAAAATTTCATATTTTGGTCCCCTCATCACGTGGCCTAGTATTCCAGTTTTCTGGTTTGTATAGTGGTGATTAGTTCTGTTTCTTTACCAACCCTCTCCAGTACTTCTTTATTTGTAATTTCTATCAGTCCATGATTATTTTCAATACTCTGCGGTATAACCAGAGTTCGAAGCCTCGATTCTTTTTAAATTACATTTTTTTAATGTCCAAGTCTCAGCTCCATATAATAATATTGAAAATATATAACAGCGAATGGTACGTAGTCTGATCTCCAAATTTAGATTTTTGCACGTTAGGAGTGGCTTCATTCGTATAAATGCTGATCTGGCAATCTCTATTCGTCTGTTTATTTCTACAGTATGATCATTGGTTTCATTGATCAAAGTTCCCAAATACTGATATTTTTCTACTTGTTCTATCACGTTTCATTTATTGTCAATAGGTGATGTATATTTTGTGGCCTTTTTGTAATCCGCATGTACTTCGTTTTTTTGGCGTTTATAGTAATTCCCATCTCAGCACTATTTATACTCAAGCTTTCGATAAGATGTTGTAGATCCTCTATACTCGTTGCTATGATCACAGTGTCGTCTGCATATCTTAAATTATTAATTAATTTTCCGTTAACGGTGACTCCCGCTTCGATATTATTGAGCGTGTTTTGGAAAATTTCTTCAGAATATAAGTTAAACAAAAGTGGTGATAACACACATCCCTGTCTAACTCCTCTACAGATCCTCATTTTCTTCTGAGTGTTGCCCATCAATTTGAACTATGGCACTTTGGTTCCAATTTAATGTTTGCACTATATTTATGATTTTACTGTCAATGCGCTTGTTCATAAGTATTGATATTAGTTTTTTCATGTCTTACTTTATCGAAAGCTTTTTCGTAGTCAACGAAGCACAAGTGTAGATCAACATTCACATCCCGACATCGCTGAATTAATATGTTGATGGCAAATAGTCCTTCTCGAGTACCCATTCCCATTTCGGAACCCGAACTGCGTCTCGCTAATATCCTCCTCTAGCCTTTCGTATATTCTCTTATGTATTATTTTTAGCAGAACTTTTAAAGTATGACTCATGAGGCTCAGTGTTCGATAATCAGAGCACTCTTTTGCTGCTTGTTTTTTAGGGATGGTTATAAATGCTGACTTTAGCCAGTCCTGTGGTATTATTCCCGATCGTACACCGTGTTGAATAAATCTGCCAATACTTCCAAGTTGTCCTCTTCCACTAGTTTTAAGAGTTCTACTGGTATTTTATCTAATCCAGCTGCCTTATTGTCTTAGAGTTTTTGATGCATATTTGATTTCATCTATCGTGATCTTCTGTATCTCAAAGGATTTATTCTTATATTTTCTGCATTTCACTCTTTCATCTTGGAAAAGTTCTCTAACGTACTCCTCACATCGCCTTAACTTCTCTGGTAGATCTACTAGTAGTACTCCTTTTTTATCTTTTATCTGTCCTTGCTGTCTATTTCGACCCATTCCAGTCACTTCTCTAATATTTTTGTGCATATTTCTCATATCATATTTTGTTTCTAGTTCTTTTCTAGATAAGACAGTCTTTAGCAATTCTATATATTTTTTGACCCTTTTTAGTACTTTCTCGTTAGTTTTTCTAGCTGTCCAAGATACTTTCAGATTCAGTCTATGAATCCACATTTTCCATGCTTTAAGTCTTTTCATGAATAATACTTTTAGTGTCTCCACTTCTGCTTTATTCAAAAGTATAGACCAAATATAGCATTTAACTTTCTTTGTCTTAGTTCTAATCTGAGTTGATTACTGCAAAGAACCGTCGTCATTTTCACAAAAGTAGTTTTAGTCACGTTTTAGACATGTTCCTAGCCTGTTCTATTTGTTTTATTTTTATTTCTGGATCTTACTCATCATTTAGTACTACTCCTATGTATTTTATTCCAATTTACCCGTTGTGAATTAGCTGAAGCAATTCATATCTACAGTTCGTTGAGGTACTATCCTTCGGAGAACTTCTGCATTTCTAGTTCTGCTGGTCAATGGTGAGGACTCTTTTTAAGAGGAGTAAATAAATTAAACTAAGTTGTAAATACCATAAATAAGAAAATTAAAATGATTAGATTTAAGAAAAATACCACATCTTGCAACTTGTGAAACATTATAAAACAATGCAAAATAAAATATATAGAAAGACTGTGGGAAGAAGATAAATAACTTGGCTAAAAAACCCAAGGTGTAGCTTAAGTTGCGTGTATGGTTGTAGCTGGAAAACAACTCTTTAGGATGGTTTTTTGAAAGTTAGAGATGATATTAACTACTGTAATATAGAAATTCGTTAACTTTGTTGTCTTCCGCATTTGAAGAAGAATGTTGGAAAGCTTCCTTATATTTTTAGCGACGCTTATAAGTGTCTGAACAAATTTAGGTTTATTAGATACATCACTTAACATATTAGAAATGGTAACATTACTATATATGGAGGACAAAATTCACTCTCAACTAATGGAATTAATGCCGGAAAGGTGCGGTATGTCGCAATCAAGAGATTTGGAATCATTGCTGGCTGAAGTAGCGTTTTACCGAGCTCCTGCTCTAGAAGAAGTGGTAATATGCAATAGGGAAATCTAGCTAAAACCAGGTTGCAGTTTCTGACCATAGTTTGGGACTCCAACCGAAGTAGCAGAAGCGTATGATGACTCCCGCCAGATTTTAAAATCAAGAGTACTCCTTGTTGCAGCTTTAATTATTTTATTCAAAGCCGTTAGAGGTCATGTTTCGGAACATATGATGGTTTTAGTTGTGTTCTTATTAGAACAAGCAGTTTTGATAGCAGCACAAGAAGACAATAAAGAGGATTCAAAAATGTGCTCAACAGCACCTCTTCAATCTCACGTCAGTGATATGGATTTAGCTAGTTGGTTTACGGCCAATTCCGTATTTGATAATCTCAAAACTGTGATAGGACAAGTAATTATATACCCAGAACCAGATTTTTCTCTTATAACTTATAGCGAAGATAGTACAGAATCTTGATTGGGATAGTACAGAAATAAATGCTGCAGATAGTGGAAACACAATGTTAATGTTTGACCAAGCATCTTCAAATAATAATTGGGATGGCGAGGAACAAGAACAATCTGAAAGTCTTGAGGTCATGGTATTTAGACCTCAAGCAATGGAAACTATTTCATCCGTCGTTGAAACACCAGCGACGACACCTAGACTTATGTTTGCATTGCCTTTTCCTATGGAAGTTGATCGCATAACGAGTTTGGCGGTTCGAGAAATGACCCCTTCAGTAACGAAGTCGGAACTCCGAGTTCGACAGAAACACCCATTACCACTACCAGATGCGAGACCAGTTATACTCGCTGGCAACGAAGTTGGTAGAACTATCAGAAAAAGTACCAAAGCTCCTGGCGCCTCTAGTTCTGGTAGTAGAACTGGTACAACATACATTCCTACGACTTTCCAAGGACACAGGAAGTCGCGATCGAATAAACCTTTAAGGGTAATAAGTAATTTCCCACCAGTAGTAAAAGTAAACGAGAGGGTTTCTCAGGGCACAAGAAGAAAACAGTGATTAGGAAGTAATATAACATTTTTGAAAAGGTTGTGTTCAAAAATACGAATTCGAAAGTTTTATTTAAATATTAGTCCTAATAAAGTAATGAATCTTTGATTTTATTTTTGTTCAATATAATATTACTACAAATCAAAGCTAAACTACAAATATGGTTTCTGTTAACTGGTTTATAATATGGATAAAGAATTTAAATTTTTACGGCGGTATCCTTGTACCTTAAGCTTGTAGTTACATGCGTCTAGTTTGATTAGATCTCTCCCTTATTAAGTATAAGGAGAAAACCGTAGTTAACGGCATTTTTGGGTTTTGCGACGTAAAAATTTGTTCCTCGAATGTATATTATAATGTTCATATCACTGATAAATATTACTATTAAATTTTCAAAAAGTATGTTTTCGCCTTAAAATATAAGGGTCAAATCTAGAGAAAATATATTTTTCTAGGATGAAAATTGTGTCAAACTGATGCGTGGAACATAAAATGAACGTAAATACAGGTCCATACAAAAACCAAATTTTCCTCAAGCTATCTCTTATTTGTAAAACTCACTAACTAGGAGAGTAAATACTGAGAGTGGTAGTAATTCTTGTTTTTCTTATAAAACATTTTCTTTTTCTTTGTTCTTGGTATAGCTTGTCTCAAAATATATCGTCTTGGTTATTATTGCGATTGTCATTATTGAAATAACCATAGTTATTGGTTCTTAATGACAAAACATCATAGGCGTTCACCAGGTAAATATAAAAAAACGGATGTGGCAGTCCAGTGGGACTGCCGGTAGAGGTTGTACTTCTATACATGCGTTCTCCGTTATAAATTTATATGGGAGTCAATCTGCACAATCATTACATATTTAATGATATAGGTAAGAGAGAGCAGAAAGAGAAAAAGAATTAGGTATATAGGAATATGGTGCATCGTTTGCTGTATATAAACGTTTGACCTGTAATAGCAGTATAGTAAATGAAGGATTGAATCAATATTTTAATGAAAATATATATTTTTATTTTCATATGTATAAAGGAAGTTGAATGCAAACATTTTTTTACACATACTGTGTAGTAAAATTCATTGTTTATTTTGTTAATATAAAAATACGATACAATACACTGCAACCCTGTAGAAAGAAATATACAAATGATTATATCGTTGCAAAGGCGATAAGCAGACCTTTCAAATGAACTGTCGCGTGACGTCGGTTAGTATTTAAAAAAAATGTCGATTACGTCATTACGCCGACACTGATGACGTAATGTACAACACATGTGTAGCAGTTGATAGTCATTTAAAAATTCAAATTGAAGTGTGTTATTTTTTTTTAAAGTCGTCTGTTTTTGAAATAATGAATTTATTCCATACATTTGCATCATACTGTAAATTTTGTAACGTTAATAATATTAAAAATTTAGTGGTATACTCCATTCCACGAATATACGACTGTTTTAAATTTGCTTTAAGGTATCGATTTAAATGGTCCAATGTGCTGCATTGTACAATAGTAAATTCTCCCCATTTTTAAAATACTGATATGGGAGATATAAACCTTAAGTCATGATATAAATATAGAGCTGATAGTTTATATAATAGTTGTAATTCAGAATTTATATTATATAATTACTATCATTGAGTTTAGTATTGTTAACAAGTTGGTGTTTTAATTAAGTGATTTAAACGAAGTGTAACAATACTTAAATGTTTAAATAGTGTACTTTATTTAGTCGAATATTCAATTAGTATTAAAAAAACAAATACTTACTTATTCTCTTATTCACCTAATCTCTTAAAACTATTATCAACCATCAGATTCACAGCCATAATCACTGTCGTCGCTATCCTCATTCGGATGGTAAATTACAACAGGATTAACTGATTGGATGCAACCTTCACGGATCCACCATTCTTTAATTAAGTCTTCACATTTTTTTGCACTATTTTCCCAAATTTCAGGAGTGGCAATATCCAATGCTTGTTGCCATGTTTCCAAGACTGCCTCGTCACTGTAATTGACCCTTGTATCCCAATATTGGTTGATCATATAGGGCGGTAGTCTTAACACACGATGTCCAAAGCTATGTATAATTTCGTCTACTATATATATATATATATATATATATTATAATATATATATATTATATATATATATATATATATATATATGTTTGGTTGTGCATGACTTTTAGCTAACGTTAGTAATTGAGGCTAAAAAATTATTGAGGAAATGTAATATTTATTCGTTAACCATTCTTTTATTTTATCTACGGTCCAGTGTTTGTTGGTTGCTTATTTAAAATTCCGAATGGTACGCAGCATTATCCAGCTCTATAACGGATGGTCATGTAAACTTGGCAACAGTTTTTCTTTCAACCATTTCACAAACATCTCCGTATTCATATCGTCATGATAATTGGCTGATTTTGATGAAAACACAATATCTGCTCCCTCAATAAAACCGTGTTTTCCACCTGCATGCACTATAATATATCTCTTTCCCTCGTTATCGATGTGTTTTATGGATTTATACTCTCGTCCTGCCAAATTCGTTTGATACCGCCTTTAGCAAAAATCCATGTTTCGTCTAAATAAACGAAGGAAGAACATTCTTTTTTAAATTTGTTGTAATTTCTTAAAAATTCTATTCTTTTGTGAACGACCCTAGCTCTTTCACACAAAGCCTTTCTATTGTCTTCATTTTTAAACTTAAAGCCAATCTGTCTTAAAACTCTCCAGAGACTTGTTCTGGAAATTTCGAATATCTGTCTTTTAATTTTTGTAGCACTGAATCTAAAGAAACATGTTCTTTCTTTTCGCGCTTTTTATAAATTGTCTCACGGATTTCAAATTTGCAACCTTCGGGAATATCTATAGTCTTTGGTTGGCGGCGAGATTTATATTGTGCGACATTTTGTTCACTTTGTCCACTTTTTTTTCCTTTTTGCAGTTTTGTTTCACTAATACAGAGTGCATCACAAACACGTTTATGTACAGACTGAACAGGTCGTAAAAGGGCCCCCGTTGGTTTTCTCAGCAGTAAAATAAGAAAGTACATTAAATATAAACTTGTCTACATCTAAAACACGTCTCGGCATTTTTGGCTTCAATAAACAAATACACTACACTAAACTCTCTCTTAACAGACACCTTTCTTCACCGGAAACCTCTATACGGACGGTTTATAAAACTAAAATCAGTCGGCGATATATGAAACTGTATGTAAATTTTCGTTACTTTTTAATATCTGTAACAACTCGGTACTTTAACTATCAATAGCCGGTATGTTATACCCGTTATAAAAAAACTTTTGGAACTTTTAAGAGTACATCCACTCAAAGCAAACAAATATTTAAAACTAACAAAGTGAAATATTATATAGATTCTTTTTCTGGTTTCTGAACCATCGTTCTACCAATTTCTTTTCATTTATAATAAAAATAGTTTATTTATTTTTATTACAGTTGTAGTACCTAATAAAGTAATAAAATGTAGTGTAATATTAAAGAAACCCGGCACGCCTCTTTGCATTTCTTTACAAATGTTTACATTTCACCGAAATCCAACCCATATGTCTAATGAACACATCTTCGTAAAAATGAGCGTTTGCGTAAAAATTTTTGTTATTTTCGAATTAAATTTCACAATAAATTTTGCGTCTATTTGAACATCTATTACCTGATATAATTTTAGTTCAGATGTAATACTAACAGCAGATGCTTTTTAATGGAACAATAATTAGACCAATTTACTTTCATACTTCTACTTGCACAGTAAAATATTCGTTGTCGCAATAATCCCAAACAGTCGTATATTTGTGGAATAACCTATATCATTTTTGTCGTTGTCAAAAATTGTGTATGCCGCTGATAACACAAACGTTTAAGCATAATAATTCTACTGAAGCACAAACAACGCTAATTTGAACAGCTGATCGAAGATCTAAAACGAATTTACTAAAGAGATCTTATTATACCTGTTAATTTAAAATTAGCTAAACCTACCTGCTCAAAACTGTATTCTCGCGATATAAACTCAACTAACTAAAAGAGACCATTAACTGAATATGTGTAGTAGAAGAAACATACATAATAATTATACAGTTGACGTCGACAGATCGTCTAATCTCAGCGTGGTGCACATTTTATTAAAAATAATTTTAATAATTTATTTCTGGGAACCAATCGCCGGTATGCCATTAAAGCAGTTATGATAATAATGATCTCGAAGGCTTAATGAAGCCACCCAGTAGCCAAAGGCGACCGTAACGATATTTCAATAATTGAATTATTTATACTGTGTCTCCATGGCAACTGAATGTTTACGGGGTGACACTGTTGGGAATTATACAGGACAAGAAGACATGTATTACAAGTCTTAATGTAAATAGAAAGAGATGACTCACCAAGATAAGTGCAGAACAGTTAATCAATAGAAATTCAAAATACGATTTTCTAAATTTATACCGTGAAAAACACACTATCATTGTTCCAGTTTAAACCTCTTTAAGTCTCTTTCAGTGTGTATATTATTATGCGTAGAAGACGAGAATAACTCATCTCAAATTGGTCAGTAAGGATTTTGTCTGTTTTAAATTTATTGGTTTTAATATCTTATAACAGAGTGAAAACAACAGATCCCTAAAATGTCTAAGACCAACACCAAAAATAAGGAAGAGAAGGACAAATATAAAATAACACAGAGATAGTCGAAGACTTCTACAAAATCTTGTACAACTCGTAAAGCCGGCCTAATGAACCAAAAAAAGAAAATATTAAAAGAGGTACTACCAAAAAGAGGGATTCGAAATATATAGAGCTTTAAAAGAGTTATAAGATAATAAATCTCCAGGACACGACAGTATAATTGCCAAGCTCTTCAAAACAAGCAAGATAGTAAAAATCCCTATACTAACAGAGCTATTTAATAGATGTCTCATTAATAGCAAAATCCCTAAAGACTGGAACGAGAGTCTAGTAATACTCTTATACAAAAAAAGGGACAAATGT